AGCTAAGTTGTTGCCATATTCTTCTTGTGTAGCTACACTTAAAAAAGAGGTGCTCATTTGTTTCTAGACTACCATTGCAAAGGATGCAATTATCAGAAACTGTGGGGGTTCTTTGCTTCTGCCTAGCCCTTGTGGTTAGTCGATTAAGCATAGTTAACCAACTTATGAAGCTATGATTAGGAATAGCTTAGGAAAACAATGCCATATTTTCTTGTCTTCTCTCCTTCTTAACCAGTGCCAAGTTTGTTTGATCTTGAAGCTGCCAGATGTAGAAGGCACCCAAACTACAATATCCTTTTATCTTTCTCGATGATATATATCAAAGAGATGCATTTGTATTTGTACCAACTAGGGAGACCTAATAAAAGGCCATTACTAAAAACTCCCATTAGACTTGGCAAACGGATGAGTTGAGTTAGGTTCGGGTTAAGTCAGCATAGGTGACCAGTTACACGGATTGGGTCACTAACGGGTCATGGGTTGAGAAAGGCCAACCCTAACTTGACCTTAATGGGTTATGGGTTAACTCCAAGTTGACATTTTTTTCCATTCATCACAATTAAAGCAACACCTTCAAGCTCGTAAATATATATATATATATATATATTGTGTCTTATAATCAAAATATAACACTACAAACATTCAAATTACTACAAGATCACCAATCATAATATCATAAATCTTTAAATTAAAGCAATATTATAAGTCATAACATCCTAAGTATCCAAATTAAGGCAAGATCATAAGTCATAACATCACAAGTAATAATAGTAATAGTAACTTAATTAACAATAACAAACTTAAAATATTAAACTTTCATGGAATATAAAGTTTGAACTTTGAAGCCTTTAATTTGAAATCAAATAATCTCTTGCTCCAAGTTTTGAAACTCCTCCTTATGATAATATTTCCTTTCCAAGCTCACTAGCAATGGTAGAACTTCTTCCCTACTAAATTGATATGCACATCCAAGCACCTCATCTTTAATAGGAGTATTATCACCTAGTTGATGATGAAAAAACACTCAAAACAACTTCAAAACCATATCCCAAAATCAAGGTTTATCCATGAAAATAAAAAACACTAATTTCTAATTCAATTTATCCTAAAACTATGTAAACATTCATGACTAGTTACTGGTTCAATTCACCTCATTCTATTTTTTTCATTTCTTATCAATCCCCCATGTATGGCAATCATGACTAACCTTTTATGCATAATTCAACATCAATATTATTGGAACTTTAAAATACCATATTCAATTAACAATGCATGTAGATGAGAAACAAATCAATACAATTTAAAATATCATATCTGTGGAGACAAAAAAAAAATTACGCAGAATTTATTTTTGTTTCTTGGCAAGATTGTATAGAAAAATCCAAAGAATTGAAGATGTAAATTCTAGTCAATCAAATGTTAAATGGAAAAATGCAGATACAAATCACAAAATCAAATAAATAAATGGCAAATAACGAGGTAGAATAGGAAAATTTTAATATTAGAAATCTCCATATTACTTTTCTTTTGAAATCCATTTAACCAAGTGCGAGTTGTTATCAATACCTCTGCATTTTCTGGTAAAAGAGAACCTCTCAATTTCGTTAAGACACAACCACCCATGCTAAATGTAGATTCATTAGCTATAGTTGTAATTGGGATCGAGAGTATGTCTCTTACCATTGTAGCCAAGTCTAGAAGACGCTTTTCATTTTGTTTCCAAAACTCAAGGATATTTAAAGGTTGTCTTTTTTTTTTTTTTTTGATACCTAAAGATTGCCAGTATGGTTGTTTACTCTCCTCCAAGTATTGATGTAATTGAGAGGTGTGAGTTTTTTCCATATCAAAATGTTCGAAACCCTACATAAAGGCAAGAAGAAATAATAAACTAATTAAAGTCAAATGAATTACACTATAATAATATAGGTTCAAAAATATTGAAGAATTTTGATATTTCAAAGAATTATTACCTCCATTATCTGAGCTATATTATCATCATCTTCATTCATCGCTGTTGGAAGCATGGTGGCATTGTGTGCACTTTCCAACTTGCTACCTTCCATTGTATATTTATTGTAAAATTGACACAAATTGTCAATAACATAATTGACCTTGGCCATGTATGTTTCCTCATTTAGTATCTTATAACAAAATGTTACAAAAGATAACTTGTAACGAGGATCCGAAATTATGACAAAGGCAAGAACATGACCATAGGAATCCCAATGCTTCTCAAATTTGGCATTTATATTAATTGTCATGTCATGGATATAGATGTCCTTACATTTAATATTCTTAAACAAACACAACTCAATCTTCCAAACACGTTTAAAGTATAAATTTGATGTTGGATATTTTGATTCAGAAAACAAAGTGCTGTTTACACTAAAAGGCTGTAAAAGTTCACAAATTCTACCAACTTGCTTCCTTTCCATTCTTTTTCATCTAAGGCCCATTTAAAATTTTCATCATCCAATTCAAAAGAAACAAAAGCATCTTTATAAATTACTACCCTCTCAAGCATGATATGTGTGGAATTCCACCTAGTATGGCAATCCAACCATAATCCTTTGCTTAAATCACAACTAGCTTGTTTAGTACAGTCTTCAAAACTTAACATTCTTCTTTAGTAGCAATTATGTACTTTATCCTATCTCTCAACTTTTTAACACTACCATCAATCACTTTCAATCCCTCTTGCATTATCAAATTCAAAATATGAGCAAAGCATCAAATATGGAAATAATCCCTACTAGACAACAATGGCTTTTCAAGATTGAGTTGATTACGCAAAGCTTCTTGCATGTTATCATTACACCTAGCATTGTTTAAAGTGATTGAAAATATTTTACTTTCAATGCCCCACTCTTTTAGCAACTCATACACTTATTTAAACAAAAATCCTAGCTTTGTGTGGAGGTGGGACATGCAAAAAACTTAAAATCAAACTATCTAAATTCCATTCATCATCAAGAAGTGAGCAGTGAAACAAAGGTAACCTTGAATTAATGTAGAAGACCACATGTCACGTGTTAAACATATTCTTCCTGAAACTTTTTTCAACAACTGCTTAACTTTATCTTTCTCCCTCTAATGAATTTTTAAGCAACAATTTTTCACAGTGTTTCTACAAATTGGTTTCACACCCTCATTCAAGTACTTCATTAACTTTCTAACAACCTTATGCTCAACCTAGAAAAAAGGATATGAATGTTCTATCACTACTAATGCACACAACTCCTCAAAAGTTTCTTGATCAATTTTCTAACCACTCTTCCAAAGTTATTTAACATCATTTGCAAAGGATGCTTATTCATACGTGATGAACATTTCAAAATATGCCTTTTCATATTAGAAGTTCCATACTTTCCTTCACAAATATAGGTAATACCACAGTGTTTACAATTACCTCTTTCCAAACCATCATCATTCAAATGTGCTTCAATCAAGTAAAAATCATCTCAAACTTGAGATTTCTTCTTATTCTTTGAAGATAAGGCATCTGTAGCCCTCTCAGGAGATAAAGGCAGAGCTTCAATTTCCTCACCATTCACTACAAAGATTTTTTAAATTAATTATTAGAAAATTAGAATATATCCAAAATAACAATTTAAATCAATTAGTTTTCCTTAAGCTAAATTTCTTAGAATTTAGCATTACCACGAATAAGATCAAGGACCATTTTTGTTACTAGTTGTGATGACAGTGGTATGCCTTGTTTGGCTACTGGTCTTTGAGATGGACTGCCATTGCCTTAACTTCGTTTCCTTTTCATCTTTCACAAAATATTCAAGTGCTAAAGATAAAGACAAAATAACACAGGTTAATTTGAAACATTGAACAAGAAAAAAGTTAAATATTAGAAACTAAAAGAGAGAGGAGGCAACATTGTAAGTCACATAAAAACATCACACAATTAGAATAAAAAACAATAAGCAATTTGAATAGAATCAACATAAAATGGATAAAATTCTATAAAATAAAATCCATTTTAGATAAAAATAAAATAGGATTTCAAATAAAATCCAGTTAAATAGAATCAAACATTAAAACTAAGTATTGAATACAAAAACATCCAAACTGCAAATAAATATATATAAATTTGAAAGACCCATACCTCAAACATAAAAGGATTTAGCTCGAGTGAAGAAGGGAGGTGGATGAATGTTTAAAGGGAGAAAAAAGCATTGAAATAAGTGGCTAGTGAAGTGATTAAGATAAGTGAGGGATATGAAGGATTGAAAGGGGAAGATGCAAAGTCTGGCGTGGTATAGACATTGGGACTAGGAATTTTTTACTAAACCAATGGAAAAATGAAGATGAAAGAATTTTGCAAATTAAGATTAAGGAGGGAGATGAGTTGGTGAGGTGGAGACCAAGTGGGGAGGCGTGAAGCTGGAATAATCGCCCATCATAATTAGGAATCAATAGGGTTAATTGGTTAATAAAGGAATAATTTTTATTAATAGTAATAAATAAGAATAGTTACTATTATTATTAGCAATAAATAGAGTTAGTAAATTTAAAAATAATTTTTTTAAAAAAATAATAAACAGGTTAACCTATTAACCTGCAGGTTAACCTGTCCATGACCTATGATCCATTCGGGTCAAGTTTACGAGTTACCAACAGCATGGGTTGGATTATGTAGACCTTAATCCATTTTTACGGGTTGAGTTTAGGTTAGCCTGATGAGTTAGCCTGATTTTTGCCGGGTCTAACTCCCATTGATTACACTAGCCAACTTTGCCTTATAAGAAAGTCCCACATCTCGAACAATGGAACTTCCATAGACCTCCAACAGTGGACCAAATAGGTGCCAAAAATCGTACCAGACATATATATCCTTGCCATCTCTTGGGACATGCTGGATAAGCTACCTAGCTAGCTACTATAGATTTAAAATTTTCCTCCACCTTCAAGATGCATCAGTTAGTAGGTTAATAGTCCATAAACTTTTGCCTTTAAGCAAGTACTCAAGAACCCATGCTACCCAAATAAACCCTACTTTTGAAAATATTAGCCAAATGAATTTAAGAATACATGTCTGGTTTCATTGCACTAGATTCTTAAGGCTTAGCCCACCCTCTTGCTTTGGGGAACAGACCATATTCCAAATTACTTTAGCCCCTTTAGCTGTGAGAACAAAATTGTTCCATATGAAAGCACCACAAATCTTTTCCACTTCCTTTATGATTGCCTTGCTAAAATAAAAATAGAGCACTAGAAGTTGGTAATGCCTTGAATAACAAAGCTGATCAATTGCAATCTCTTAGTAAAAGAGAGGTACTTTGCTACCCAACAAGTCATTCTTTTTGTTATCTTAGAAACCAAGGGCTTTAGGCCCTTTTAAGTCAATTTTCCTGTGATCAAAGGCACACCAAGATACCTTACTAGTAAGGAACCAACCTTGAAACCAAGTTTTTTAGTTAATTTTCTAATTTTTTCAAGAGATAACCCATAGGAAAAAAAGTTCAGACTCGACATAATTTACTCTCTACCTAAAACTTTATAAAACTCTTTCAACACGGCATCCATAGCATCAAAGGAAGTTGATTGACCATTAGTAAAAATTATTAGGTCATCAGCAAAACACAAGTGTGTAAGATGTACCTTCTCACATTTAGGATGGTAAGCAATCTTTCCTTCTTCAGCAACCTTATTCAATACTCTTGAGAGGACTTCCATGCAAACCATAAAAAGGTATGGAGATAAAGGGTCACCTTGTCTGACATGTTTCTTCCCAGGAAAATAGCCACACAAGTTGCCATTAAAAACCACTAAATACATGGGTGTAGTTATATAGACTTGAAGTAATTTACAAACTGAGCAGGAAAACCCAAGGATAGCAAAATTTAGAAAAAAAAAATCCCATGATATTGAGTCAAAAGCTTTCATTAGATCTATTTTTAAAGTACATCTAGAACTGAGGCGCTATCAATGATAGTGCTTGACAATTTCTTAAGTTAGAAGGATGTTCTCAAGCATAAGTCTCCTTTTTCACAAATGCACATTGGTGTCTACTAATGAAGAAAGGTAGACATTTCTTGAATATGTTAGCTAGGATTTTAGTAATGAACTTGTACAACAAATTGCAACAGGCAATAAGTTTGTACTCAATCATTTTTGCCGGATTTTGAACCTTTGGAACCAAAGGAATAATGTTGAATTCATTTACCTCAAAAGTTTACCAGAAGAAAAGAATTCATGAATTGCCTTAATCACCAAATCACCTACAACAAGCCAAGCAATTTTATAAATATCACGTGGCATTATAACTAATAACTATATCATTTTCATTTACTTTCAATGTATTATGTTATCTTATGATGTGCTATATAATAGGTGATAATGGATAACCCTATACCACCCTCTCAAGATTTGAACTTAAAACTTTCAACTTAAAATCTTAAGTTTTTAGGTTAAAATGTTTCATTGAAGAATGCATTTGTTAGGCTTTATTAGAAATTGATTTTAATTAATATTTTATACATTTTAATAACTTTAAAGATGTATGTTAATTTTTCAAAATAATTATCAATTATTAACATAATTTTTGTGATACCACAAATATAAGACAAGAATAGACAGTATTACCACACAAGAATACCAAATGCAACCTTTGCTATTTCATATTTCAAAATTTGCCACAGCAACCTCAACAACACTTTAAGAAGTAGCCAACGATATAAAATTTCCTCTAATTTTTAAAGCATAGATGTGGTCAGCCAATTTCTTAGTGACTTGAAATATGGGCATCAAAAAATATGGGCATCAAACCAATTGGATTGCCCAGATATCAGCAACGCATTGATATCAACGCTCTTTTATATCAAGTAATCAACTCCAATTTCCTCCTTTTTCCTACTTGTTTTTTCTTGTAGCAATTCTCCCAGCTCCACTGGGCACCGGCTATCCCACTGCAGCCACATCCTCTATGGTGAGGGAATGAGGGCCATGTTCTTTTAAATTAGTGTAGTACAGATTGTTCTCTCAATTTCTTCTTTTAAAGTATCTATTTATTTAATAATTTAGTTTACAATTAATATTTTTAAAAACTAACAATTAAATTAAATGTATTTTATTTGTATTGATTATATATATCAATTTTTAAATTGATAACATTTATAATTCTTTGATAAAAAAACTCTATTTACTAATGTATATTTAAAAATATTCAATTTTTTATAATTAACAAACTGATCAAACTTATTAAATCAATTTAAAAATTATTATATATGATCTATATAAATAAAATAAGACATCTTGCAAAACAATTTTGCCATCTTTCTTAGGTTTTAAACTTTAGTTGATTTCTACTGTTGTAAAAATATAAAAAGAAACATAAAAACAGGACATCCACACCAAAATTAGAATTAGGAAATCTATTTTCAACTCCCTTGGGAGAAGTTGGAGAAAGAGGAGGTTCCTTCAACATTGTACTTCCTTTTTTATTCATTATTTTATTTATTTATTTATTTATTTTGCCCAAAAGAGTTACCGGGAAGTAGTTTCTTGAAAAAATAAACCTCAGTCTCCATGGTATTTAAGCAAGATACCTTGCCAAGCAAGCTACAACTCCCTGGGTGCAGAACTGACACAAAGAATTAACAAAAAGAATTAGCAGAAATGACTACAATTTGTAACACAAGCTATACCCAAATAGCTTGTTTACAGAGTAACATTTTTCCTCAGCTAAATAGTGGCGTTTTACATCAAAATTTTTCCACACAAACAAAATCCTCAGAATGTAAACTGAGAGGGAAAAAGAGAGAAGGCAAATCAGAATGGCGTATGAAATGCTACCATATGGCTGCTATAGTGGAACACCTACTATACACACAGGTAACTATAAATATGAGTAGAAAGTAGGGCAGAGAAAGTGCCTTGCCCTTGTTCCTTGATTATCTTCCTTGAACAAGACCACTGAATACTTGGCTGTTCCCAGCAAGAGTTGCTTCCCATTCCACAGAGGACAAGAGGATCTGGGACAAGGAAATCACGACTTGCTTCGTGTCGGGACGAAGAATAGGATCCTCATCCACGCATTGCTTTGCCAGCATGGCCAGCTGTGCAATTCCCAGGAAGAAATGAAAAGGTAAGTCACTGTGTTATACTGGCAACTTTAAAATTGATAAAAGTGCTTCTATGTATTTGGGGGATGCAACATGGAGACAGTAGTTTGAACATTAGCGGAATTGTTCACCTAGAATCATAAGCTTCACATTTCACATACCAGGTCCCAGGAAAATGAAAAGAAAGGATATATAACCATCCACAACAAAGAAACATCAATTTGATCAAAAAGTCAGAAATTACCTTAAATACACAATCATGGGGATATAGATCCATCATATTAGGATCAATATATTCTTTCAATTTTGATATGCTCAAGGAGTCCGGCATATTACGGAGAGCTGCTAACATCTGCATTACAATTTAACAAATGTCAGGGGAAAGCCATGACAAATGGGCATTAAAGACCAAACAAAAAGAACCAGAAAGATTTTGATTTTTCATATACCATTTTGTATTTGGATGTTAAGCTAAGAAGTGCATATTATTTTTCACTTTTGTTTTAAAGAATGGGATAATAAGAAGTCTTTTAACCACATGTGGGAACAACCTGCTCTTTTATTTGGCCAATATTGATTAGTTGTTTTAAGTGTTGGCAAAATTATGTATCCTAGAATGAGCAACAATAAACTCACAATGGATGCCAGTGAACGCCTTTCAGAATTTTTCATCGATGTTCCTTCACTCCGTATGACAGCTTCCTTTCCAGATATAATCTCAAAGAGAACAACACCAAAAGCATACACATCACTTTTGGCGGAGGCAAGGCCATCACTCAAATACCTGCGGAAAACCAAAGTTAGAGAAGTCAAAATTTCACGTGTTGAAAGGTTATTGTAAATGGCAACAGCCACAGTATCATTGCTTACTCTGGTGCCAAATATCCAAATGTCCCAACAACTTTCGTTGCTGTAGCTTCTCCATCACCTGTTTTTCCAACCAGTTTTGCCAACCCAAAATCTGAAATCTAAATGCAGATTGCAGAAGAGTCAATAGCTGTGAAACAAAATTAACAAAAACACAATAAGCCAGATGACACATGTTAGAACCTTAGCCCTGAAGGAACCATCAAGCAGGATGTTGCTTGACTTGATATCTCGATGGACATAATGGGTTTTAGTGTGCTCATGGATGTACTCAAGACCTCTAGCAGCATCCAAAGCAATTTGAACTCTCATGATCCAAGAAAGTGGGCTATGACCTTCAATCACATAAATTATTTGCAAATTTAATTATCATATAAATGAGGTTCAGCAGTCATGCATAAAAGACATAAAATGCCAAAATAAAATTTGCCATTGTCAAGAGCACATGGCTTCACCTTAAAGGAACACAAGTATATCTTATAGAAATGAAACAACGCGAAAAACATTGAGGAATTTAATTGATAAAGGGTTCAGTGGTAATTTTTAAAGACATCTATGACTAGAGATACTTGGGATTGACTCTAAACCATTCCTACATCTAAGATACCTACACATAACTGCAAAGACAGAGCATTGGGTTCCTCGTACTTTGGCCTAGACCTAGCTCATTGTTATCCATATTGTATGATAGGCAGTTTCAATCATTCAATACAAAATCTTCAACAGCATTAGCGTACCACATTGCAAAGGTTAACCATTTTAAGCTTCACAGCAATGGAATGATCAGGAAGACCCAGGTGCTGCACTCCTTGTCCTAGCCTAAAGCCCAAACCATCTGAGGACCAATATTTTGAGCTAGCTAAGCCAGTCAGCTACAGACTGAGGCCATCCTTCTGAGCTTAACTAAAGGCTAAATCTCACATTACTACCACTAAGCAATACTGATTTGGGACATGAAACCTCAGGCCTCAAGAGTTATTTCCTCATTTTAAAAAATTCAGGCCAAGCTGAAGTTTTTAGTTTCTTGCCAATTAGGATGTAAATAACAGGATTTAACAAATTTTGATGGCTTGGCCAGATCTGGCTACATAATCAACCAAACTCAATACATTTTAGCACTAATAGTGATTTAGTTCAATTGTCATATGTAAAGAACAGTATATGTTATATATCACTTAAAGAACCATGTTTGAACCTTTCTAAGATGTCAAAAAGCATAGAAAATGTATATGCTCCTCTAGGGCTCACTTAACTCTTCAATATTAGTGGTGAAGTCTAGTTCTGTATTGTTCTTGTAAACATCCAACCTAAAACAATTTACAACAAGTGGAGTAGTGCACATTGTATTAAAGTCCACTGGCTTCCCCTTAACTCACCAGTTATGGGATTTTTCCATTTAACAGTTCTCATCTCAACTACCAAGATTTTTTTAATATATGGTTAAATTCACACAAGGAATGTTTGTTAAATTTCAGAAGAGAGAGTAGCAGAAGTAGTTCCTGTGCAACAACCTGTTCTTACAGAATTCTATGGATAATATAAATCTTAAAGCATCAGTACCTTTGTTCTGGGGATCATGTAAATGGCTTCCAAGTGAACCCTTTTGAGCAAATTCATAAATAAGGAAGAGCTCATTATCACTAGCAGCATAGCCAATCAATTCTACCTTTGACAAAATTAAAGCAAATGGGTGTCAAAGTTTTGAACTTGGAAAGCTATAGGCTTCACAATTCAAAGAATTATTACCCACTTGATAAGAGAGCATTACCAGATTTGCATGATGAACCTTACATAGGACTTTCATCTCTGCCATAAACTCTTTTGTTTTTGTAGCAGTCATCTTTTTGATAGCAACTTCCTATGATTAAATTTCAAAATTAGTACGTATTGTTACTTTTATGTATCCAGGTAAACTTTTCGAATATAAAATAGACAGTATCCAACCTGATCGCGTAAGAAACCATAATAAACAGAACCATAATTTCCATGGCCAAGGAGATTGGAATCAGAGAACCCATCCGTTGAGAAATGAATGTCTTCATACGTGAAAACCACAGGCTTCTCCATGTCAAGCATATCAGTCCCAAGCGCTGCAAGTGTTGACAAGGATACAAAGTTGACATCCAACATCTAGCTAGTATGACATGCTGAATTGATGTTTACACTAAAATTTTATCTATTTCTGAAATCTATTGAGTTCAAAACATACAGATTAATGTTAAAAGATAACAAGTAATCCACACAGCCTCAGTGAACCATTGAAAAGCCTTCAGTAAAAAGAGAGTAATGGTTTGCTTAAATAGTTGCTCTAGATTTGAGTCCAAAGATGTGAGGTTTGAAATCTACTACTTCTAAATGTATAATAAAACGAATGGGAACCTTCAATAAATAGAATTATCAGTGTTCCTTCTCATAAAAAAAGAATAACAATCTTCCTATAGTAATTGGAAAAAGCTACTCACAAATTTTCGTTGTTTTGCCATCTTTAAAGGCTTGTCTCATTATTCAAAAAGAAGCATGATATGACAATGATAACGGGAAATTCAAGCATAATTTTTTATAAATGAGATCATACTGACTATTTTACAGCATGTGAATGGAACAGTATCTATGCATTCCAAAAAAGACAAGATACATTGTGTATTTTGGCATATAATTCACAAACAGGATTTAACACTTCTGCTTTTCTTCTCTTTTTATTTAATTTAATCTGTAGTTTGGTTAGGCAAAAGTTTTTTTTTTCTCCTTTTCTTTTTGCATATTTAAATACCTTTTCTTATTGCATATTTAAATAAGGGTAATGTTTTACCTGCAATGTTACAACTTTTTGGTATGGTAATCTGGTGGTTGCTAGTTTCCCCATTTGGTTGGTTCCAATCCTCAGACTTGCCACACATGTACCTTCCTGAACCACAACAGAAACTTGGCTTTGGAAGAATATGAAACTTATAAGAAATCTTGCCATCAGGATCCTTTTCGAGATTTCCACGAGTTCCAGCAAAACAGCTTGATGACCTCAGGAAAACACAAAGAATAAAGCTTAATACTATCAGAACAAGCCCGGCACCTAGGCCCCCAATGATCCAAACATATGGAGCATGATCCTTATGATTTACTTGAGTGGCTGCATCAATTAGGAACAAAATCATTATATCCCATATAAAGTGGCAACATTTCTTACTTTAATTGGGAAAATATTTTAGAAAGATTAAAGCAAAAGGAACTGTTTCTTGCAGAAGATCAGACATAGCGAAAAACAGATTGTATTTAATCAGGGTTAAATATGTAATGGATTGATCTTTAATGCTAATGGAAATGCTTGCCATTGTCCAAAAAAGAAAAAAAAATGCAAAAACAGATTTTAAAGCAAAATCACAGATCAGAGACTCAATATTTATCAAAAGTAAGCCTTTAATTTCACTTGTTTCTCTTGATTGTATTTACAGACTATTAAAGAAAAATTAGGAAAAAAGATATACTGAGTTTCCTGGTGATTACAGCTCCTTTCCCTAAGGATTTTTGCATTATACACACAGTTGTTCTTCATCCAATCAAACAGAAACACAGAACTTGATGGTTTACAGAACTTGACTAACATCTTAACCATTATAAAAAGTTGAATCCCCATATTTCCTGGAAAGAAAGACATGCACTGCAACCATTTATATGTATCCCCACACAAGAGACACTACTTGCAAATAAAACCTTCGACAAAATTTCACACAAATCAGTTTTACTTCTTTCTACTTCAATGCTGTTACCTGACATCAATGTAAATCAGAGTCATTCCAGAAAACTACTAGATGTAGAACAAACAGGTCTTCTTTCCACATAGTTTAAGTCCTCCACTCAGATTAATCAAACCATACCTGAAATAGTTTCGATAGATGGTGCAGGAGCAGGTGCAGGGGGATTGTTATTCTCCACCGGATAAGGATCACCAGGAACTACAATATAAATTGACCAATTAATTAAACAATTTCAGCAAGATAAGGATTGCTTGGTAAAGACTAATAAAATAACAGACAAGTAAATACAGTTTGCATAGCCAGAGAAATCAAGATAAAAAACGATTTTGGATTGTCTGAAAAATAATATAACAACCCAGTTCCATACTTGTTAATTAGTTAATACAATTATATGATGAATAACCTTTTCTACTTCAAAGGCTTACTATGGAAAAAAATTAGCAAATTTGTACTTCAATGCAACTTAGATCCACAGTCTGAGAGAATTGTGCCCCCCATCCTCCTTTTCTCTCCCCCTATTTCATGCAGGTGGCCTTAGCATGCATGGTACCAGATTTCAAAACTGAATTCTATATCTGGATTAGCAAAGGTACTTAATTGATTCCTTTTATAAGATTCATTTCCTTGAAAAATACTTTGCTATGATAATGATATGAAGACACAAGATAATGTCATGGTAACTTATCATCAAATTCATCAACTTTTAACATTTATGTTTTCTAGCTGTTTAGCATCAAAATCTTCCCTTTACTTTCACATCCTTGTCTTGCAGGAAAGCAAGTAGGATTGAAATCCATTTGCTATCCATTTTCTATCCTTCACTACACAATCCTTAATCCTTAAACTCAATAGCTTTCACTTTTCAACACTCCCTACCAAGAGAAGCATAAGATATTCATTTCATCCATTTGCTATTCTAGCATTGAGGCTTAATTCATATACAAGATTTTTCCGATCATTATTTGGATAACCAGAGCTCCTTCAAAGTTCCAAGCCAGAACCTTAGTCCACGACCAAGCTTCCAAACACGATGACAAACTTACAAGTTTCAGATTCAGCTTCCTGCACCTACTAATCCAACTACCATAAACTACGGACATAGAATCCTTTTTGTTGATTTTACTGGTCATTTCCATGTTCCAAATCATAAGGTTCTTAGAAACCATGTCGAATTGTCTTGCACAAAAAAAAAAAAAAAATGCAACAGAAAACCTAATCTGGACCATTTTTCATCTCTCAAAACCATCCAAATACACATCTCCAAACTATTATACTAATTACTCAATGAATTGGACCTTCGTAGTTCAGGCCTGACCTGGTACATATCCATTACCACCACCATGAAAAACTGACACAACTAAGCGAAAATGAATAACCATTCAAATTTTTAAAACTCTCAAATGACAACAAAAAATCTGAGCAATTTAAGACTAACCTGACTCCAATGGAATATAGTATAGAGAGCCAACAGTGGTATTGTCAGGATTCTGAATCCCGTTCACATTCTCAATACTTTCCATGCTGACACCAAATCGGCTAGCCAGAGATTGCACGCTATCCTCATCTCTCATCACATAACTCATCAAGTAATTCCACAACCCACTTGAACACCCACAAAACAGCCTCAAAAACACCACCGAACCAACCTTCGCCTTCCTTGTAAAATTGGGTACCAAGGCCAGCCCATCATAAGCCTCTAAAACCATGTCATACACGCCCCCCTCATTTGACCTCACAGTGAAAGTGGTGTTCGCTGCGTAATTCTTGGATGTTAAGCAGGAACAGTTCTTCTTGATAAACACATAACCATAACTGTCCTTTTCAACAGTAATGTCTTCGGGTAAAACATCGAACATGCTCTGGATCACCTCAAGAGTTTGGTTCTCTTGAGGCTTGAATGCCAAAAAGGAAGTGCATAATCGTGCAGCATCCGAACAGTTCATGGGTACTGGGTATGAATACAAAAAAGGGATGTGAACAAGCATAAGAAAGCATTTTAGAATCAACAACTGTAACCTCAAACCCTTCATTTTTCCCTTCTCCAAGATAAAAATTTCAAGCTAAAATCAAACCCCAACTTAAAGAATGTAATCAAGAAACATGGGTTAAAAGAAGAAACTATTTTGATTGAGAAAAAAATGAACGTTAGGCATAAATTAAACTCAAGGAAGAAACTTCAGCTAAATTTAGCTCAAAAAACAGAGTACAACAAATGGGTTTTGAGCTTAAGCATAAATTCTCAGTTCTCATAAAGAATACAGAGGAAGAGTTGATGAAGAAAGCATTCACTGCTCTTCTCAAAACATAAAGTGACAGATTAAGAATAAAGAGAAGGTAATAAAGGGGAAAGGGTGAGAATTTAGAAGGAACAAGGGAAGAAAGACGGAAATTTGGAGAAAAAGGAAGATGGAGAATCGAGGGGGTTTGAAGAGCAGAAGAAAAAGGGTTCGGACGTGTACAGAAAGGCAGAGCATGTTATGTTTTGTGGGTATAATTTTACCCTTGGTGCTGGTAATTGCTCTTCTTACTGTAAAAAGAGAAAGCGACTCTGGAGAGGGAGGGAGGGAGGGAGGGAAGGAGGGAAAAAGGGCTCTCACCTGGCGATATTTGGGTGGGCAGTGTACCCCTTCTTTTGACTAAACTACCCTTCTAATTTATTTTGATAAGTAATGAAAAATTGAAAATTAAAACAATTAAAATGTAATTTACCTTTTAAATTGTCCTCAATTGTTAAAAAAAAAAACTATTAATGGAAGAGAGGTCCTAAATGGAAAACATTCTCCTCCATCAATTTTTTTTTTATTTTAAGTTTGAACCGTAAAAAGTATTTTATTAAAAACAAATAAAATAATCTCTTGAGAGTAGAAAAATATTTTTGTTATGCATGAAACAAAATTAGTTTATGATTTATGATTTTCTGTTTTAATTTTGAAAAGTGAAAATTAATGAAGATACTCTATTTTGTTTAATTCATTACAACACACTAAACTTAGATTTTATTTTTTCAACCTCTAGTAAGAGAATATTATTGGATTAGCATATGGCAGTTAAGTTTTTTTTTAGACAGTTGTGTTGTCTTTAGGATAATTTTTATGCACCTTAAGATTATTTCTTTTTTAAGCAATCTTATGAGTGCATCCTATTATTATATCAACCTAATGCATTAAAAAATTAAATTTTTTTCCCATTTATTAATAACTTTTAGAATCTATTTATTTTAAGATAAAATTGAGGAACCTTTCGTTTCTATTCTCTTCTTTTATTTGAATTTGTTAAAATAATAATAATAAAAAAAGAAACCTCTTTCTTCTCTCCCTTAAGTTTTTTTCTTATTTGAATAAATAAAGTTTCTATTTTTCTTTCATTTCCCTTAAACTAAATTTTATCTTAATTTTTGTTTAAATAACTAGCCTTATTTAATAGTAATTATAGAATTTTTAAAAGTTAACATAAACTCTTATCATTATCACACTCTCTACTTAAAAAGAGAAAAATGTGAAGGAAGAACCTTTAAATCCTTTAATCAAATATTTAAATGTAAAAGACCTTTTTATTTGTTAATAAATGTTCAAATCTATGCAACCCCCTTCTCACCTCCTTCCCCCACAAGTTAAATCACTTGTTCTCTCTTATCAAAAAAGAAAAAATGCAAATTAAAATTTTATTATATAGATAACTTTTAAAATTAGAATAGCCAATAAATAATGATAACAAATTAGTATACAACTAAAAATAACCAAGGTACAAACATTATCTAATTATTCTTAACCCTATTTTGGTTAGGAAGTAGATTCGAAGGTGAAAGGGTTAACCAAATTATGCAAAATTGAACAAAATTTATCTCAATTTAGTTATAAAATAAGCTCATGCTTCTTTTTTTTTTTTTTTTGGAAATAAAAATAAATTCCAAAAAGAAGTATATTAGAAGGCCAATTTGGGAAATAGGAATTCACGGGATAGGCTGTCGGGAAAATGATGGCACAAGTTGCGAAGAGCTGGAACTGAGAACGACAGTTGGAGGGTCCCACATTAATCGCGCCAAAATCACAAATAAATTTTTTTTTTTTTTGAAAAAAAATGAAAATCTCAGATTATTTGCTGCCGTGTTTACCCCGCCATGTGGATGTCCAATGGTAAGTTCTCGTTGACCTAAAATATCTTTTACCCCCAATTTTACTCTTGCCGACACATGATGTAAAATAGAATCATTTTTTTCATGAAAAATGGATGAAAAATGGATCAATATTATTTCAGAGTGACATTGTATAATTATTACATAAATTAAATATATTTAAGAAAAAGTGTATATTAATCTTGATTTTTAAATTAAATTAAAATTTTAATTTGAAATTATGTAATTTTATTTAATTAAAATTTAATTTAAAATTGAAAATTATTATTTCAGAGTGACATTTTATTATTATTACATAAATTAAATATATTTAAGAAAAAGTGTATATTAATCTTAATTTTTAAATTAAATTAAAATTTTAATTTGAAATTATGTAAATTTATTTAATTAAAATTTAATTTAAAATTTAAAATTTTATTTTATTAAATATTAATATTTAAATTTAAAAATAATTATATTAAAATATATAATTTGTTTTAAAATTTAGCTAGCAATGTTTAATGTGGTGAATTTTAAAATTTTAAATTAGGATTTTTGTTTAAATGTAAATTGAGACTTTAATTTTTTTAAAAATCAAAATTAATATGCAATAAGCTTATATATTTAATGAATTTAAAAACTATTATGTATGATTTAAACAAATTTTTTTTATAATTTAGATTATAAAAAAGACTATTGTAATATTTATGAATAATTTTTAATATTAAAGAACTTATTTTTTATTTAATGAGTTAAATTATACAGTTAAAATTGTATAATATTTTTTAATATAAATAAATATAAAAATAAATATAATAATTAAGACTATTGTAATATTTATGAATAATTTTTAATATTAA